GCTTGATCTCTGAGGTCCAGAGTGTCTGGAGACTCTGCAAGTCTCATGGTTAGGAAAATCTTAATCTTCGCTCCTTTTCAGGGGCTGTCGTATGCCCAACTATAGCTCTTTCCCTCACAATCAGACTCTCCCCCAGGCAAGCAATGAACAGTAGTATCCTCAGAAGGTGGAAAGGAAACTTAGGCCCAACCCAGAGAACACCTGCAATCCCAGCCAGTCAGGAGGCTGAGGCAGGAGGATTGCAAATTCAAAGCTGGCATGGATACTTTAGTGAGAAAGAAAAATAAATAGGGCTGGGGATGTGGCTCAAGTGGTAGCGCGCTCGCCTGGCAGGCGTGCGGCCCAGGTTCGATCCTCAGCACCACATACAAACAAAGATGTTGTGTCCGCCGAAAACTAAAAAATAAATATTAAGAAAATTCTTTAAAAAAAAAAAAAAAAGAAAAATAAATAAATGCCAGTTATATAGCTCAGGAGTAAAGCACTTGCCTCGCATGTGCTGGGTCCTAGGATTAGTCCCCAGTACTGCCCCCAAACAAACAGAAAGCTCCAGACAGAAATGGAAAGACAAAACAGCCAGAGTACAGATGGAACACCTATTCTACAAAGGCTAGGGGACACTAGAAATAGCAAGGACTCGTGGATCAACTCGGAGAAACACTCTGATGGGTTTAGGAAGGGAATTGAGTGGGGAGAGCTGCTCAGGAAACTCTGTACCTCAGACTTCTGTGTTCTGAGCAGAAGGAACAAGACTGGCAGAGGGAACAGGATTTTTGTTGTTTTTGTTTTTGTTTACCAGCTGCTGCCCTGCCTCAAGGCTTAAGAGGTAGAATGGGTTGAAGAATAAGCAGTAGGAACACATGGCTTTCAGTTCTAGAAAAACGGAAAGAAGCCTTGCCTTGGCATCTGGTGGAATGACAGGCTGGGGAAACCTGGCAGAGGCCCAGTTCATAGGGAAAAAGCAGAGGGCTTGGGCCGGGGCTGAACTGGTGCTAAGTGGGTGGGAAAGAGGCAACTGATTGTCACCTCCATCCTGTCCCTTAGGGATGGCTTATCACAGGCCTAGGGGCTTCTTATGACCAGGTCCCAGAACACTTCATTATATAAAACTAAGTAGATTTGCCAACAAGCATCATAGGCATACTCTGTCAGTCCCCCAACACAGTTACCTGCTGGAGATGCTCAGTGGCAGTGGTAGCAACCAGCTCTTCTTCCTGCAGTTTCCAAAAGCTGGTAGCTAATTATCTTTCTCACCTGCCCATAAGTGAGCAGTATCCAGCAGTGGAGGCTGCTGTGGAACTGCAGGGTAGGGGAGAGGGAAAGGCCAGTTCAAGAATGCAGTCCCTGGAGGCTTCTGCCTCCCTGCCTGCAGGATTCCAAAGGCCTGAGACAAACCCCAGGCTGAAGTCCAGCAAAGTCGCTTTGGGCTATATTCCTCTGGGAGAGAGAAATTTCTACAGAGATTTTATTTTTAAAAACTTTATCCCCACTGGGGGAGGATGGTGGTGGTGGCTGGCGTTCAGAGGGTCTGTTTGGATCAGGAAGGAGGCATTCAATAGCCGTATTTTACACTTTCTTTTCTTTCATACTCATTCTCCATGGTACCCTCAAGAATTGTTACTGAAAAACTCTTAAGGGCATGAGTTTAGATTGCAGCAATTCCTAACATCAACTCTGCTCCTACCATTTTTTTTTCCTCCTAAGACTTTGCACTGGGTAGAATTTTAAATGTGAACAATGGTTCAAAGGCTGAGAGACAAACTGCTCATTACTCGAAAGAGTGCCAGAAATCCTGGGAAGCCGACCTCACTCCCCACCAGAGCACTGCACCTCATAGTAAGGGTTTCTTTCAGAGTCACGGGAAGGTTGGATCAGCATTTCTTTTCATTGCCATCTTCTTTCAGGAACTGCTGGGATAAAAGGGAGCCTAGGCGAATAAAAAATTCACAAACAGGACAAGAATAAAATATTTAGGGCAAGAGATCAGAAATCCTTTGGTTATTCAGTGAACTGAACTAACTCTGCTTTAAAAAAAAAAAAAGTGTAGGAAATAAAGGTCCATCAAACTCCATGTCACAGTGAGTATCAGCCTTTAGACTTGGTCTTACAGGCTCTAAGCCAGGTTGTCATGCCCAGTGAGTTGAAGAGACTTAGATTAGCCCAATGCTACCAGGGAGCTGTTTTGTCATCATTAACTTCATTCTCAGTATCAACTGCAGAAGTGGTTCAATTACCCCCTGCCTCCCACCTCTCCTCCCCAAATCGAATCATTGATAGACAGGGGGAATGGCAGGGTTATTAGGTGCCACAGAGAAGACCCAGTCGCTTTGGATGGGCAGTTCAAGCTTTCAATACTTAAAAAGTTCTTTTTCCCAAATACAATTGATGATTTCTGAAATGGAAGACAGGTTTAAAGCCACATGGTTGAGAAATACTATACTAAAATCTATCACCTTTATTTCCTACTAATATGATCTTGAATACTTGTCAAAAAGCACATTAAACATCTGGCTTTTAAGTGGCAGGCCAAAAACAGTATTTTCCCTCAGGCTGAAGAAGTAGTTCAGGGATAGAGAGCTTGCCTAACATTTGTAAGGTCTTGTGTTTGATGTCCAGAACCACAAAATAATTTTTTTCCAGACCAGAGCTATGGTTAATTTGATCAAGAGACCAGGTATTCCCAGAGTGATCCAAAAATGGATGTTAAAACTATGGCTTTTTTTGTCGGATGAACCCAACTACCACATATAACTATAAAGCTCTAATAAAATAATAAACGAGCAAAGAAAAAGCAAAACAACAACAACAAAAAAAAACCACTAAAAAAAAAAAAAAATCTGTGGCTTTGTTTCTAGTCACACTGCATCTAATTTAGTTTTGTGATACCCTATCTTGACATCAGGAAGGCACTTTTCCAGGGCCTATCAGTAAGTGTGGCTTATGAAACATTCTATGCCCAAGAAATTCAGGCTAAAAAAAATAGCTGTGAGCTATTTTTTTCTTTACTCATCCACATTTGTATGTCAACAAGAACTTTGCTCCTTGGGAGTTTTCATTCCTGCTTACTCCTCCCTGAAAATAGAGTTGTTTGATACAATCCAGGAGTCACAGGGTTGGTCTGAGACATACATAGCAACAAAATTACGCTGCTAGAACAAAGGTTCATGACTGCCAAGTGTCCAGAGCAAAATAGAATTAAAGAACCTAGCACTGGATAGAATTTAAAAATAGATCTTCCCTTCCCCTACTTTCCTACACAGAATTCACTTTTACATTAACAATTGAGTGCTTACTATGTATGAGGTCCTTTTCTCAGACCATTAACTCATTAATTTTCACAACCCTATGAGGTAGGTACAGTCATTTCAATTTCACATTTGAAAAAACTGAGGCACAGAGATGGAGCAACTTGTCCAGGGTTTTGGAGTTGAAATACAAAAATCTAGGCAGCCAGGTTCCAGAGCCCACGCTCTAACCATTATACTATACTGCTTCTGCAATAAAAAGATTTTTTTTTTCAAATTTCCTGCACAGATTTATTCCCCTATCAAATATGCCAATTTGCATTCTCTAAATTAAGCAGACACATGGTCCCATGGTTCATCTTAATGTGATACCAAGGATCAACAGGAACTTTAGACTCATCCAAAACATACAGCTCTCTTTAACACACCAAATGTTACCCCCTTTCAAATATAAAAATACAGAGATAGCTGTTCAAGCATAATAATTACTTTCTAGCAACAGGAAATATCTGACAACTTCAGTTTAAGCAGTAATCACTCAATTGATCTTGGGTGGCTATTACAGAACTTAAGTAGCTAATCTCTGGAAGAAAAACAAGTCAATTTAACAAGACCCTAATTAGACAATTTTATTCTGTGCATACTGATGGAGCATAAAGTAAAAGTTCCCCTATGCTTAAGGAACCACTAATAAGATTTGCAAATATCAAAGGGATAGCCTACTCAGCTATGATAGACATTCTTATAATTAGGACTTTAGCTAAGGTCAAAGCATCATCCATATATGCTCTCTTTGCTTAAAGATCAAAACCTTTATTTAAAGTCTCTTTCCTCATTTTCTCCCATTTCTTAACACTGTTTACTCAGAAAATCAGTACCATCTTTTAAAGTTCTGGGAACCATGTTTTACAACATCACTCGCTAAATGGTTAGCTTCTGAGATTACTGAATACCTTTCAGATATTGAACATTTTGCTTTAGACACAGCTGCCAGCAGTTCCCTTAAAAGTAGTAATCTTAGGAAAATGACTTGGCTGTCATCACTTCAGTGTTGATCATGACCCAAATGCTGATGTCATTGTCTAGGTGACAAAAGCAAATCAAGTTTTGCTAAATGAGAATTTACCTAGTCTTCCTTGGCCTCCTTCCTTTTCCGGTTTGACACATGCAATTTCAATTTCACTTTCACTAATTCATTTACTTTCTACAGCTATACCAGTAAAAGGGAAGGAAAAAAAAGAATTTCCATCCTGGCATCTAGTGGAATGCTGAGATGGATCTGGCCATTTGGACAAGTCAGCTTCATCAGCCTTTTGTGAGGTTCTAATGGGCTTTTAAAGAAAGCTACTAACTTTTCCCCCCTTTCAACACAAATCTAAAAGATGATCCATGGCATTAGCAACAGGAAACTAGAAGAATTTTTATGGAATGTGGTTAGGAAGGGCTTCAAAAGTTAGCACTTACTTAATACTAGACCCTGTCAGATTGGGCTGTAGAAAATCAAATTGACCTAAATCGACTTGAGAAAAGGCAGCTGTAGTGGCAGGTTTCAAGCCACTGGCTGTCACTGATGCAGTCCTAGGATGTTGAGGGGTAAAACCTTAAGGTTGTCCCTTTTGATACTCAGTGAAGTCAGTAAACAATGTCCTCAGTCTGTGAATGACTGATAGTGAGGAACCACACCTTAAATTTTCTAGCCCAGGCCTTAGCTTACCACAAAACCCAGGCAGGTGATCAGAGAAGGAGGCAGTGAAGTTGCTTCAAAATATTTAATACGTGTTAGACACGTAAAGTTACATTTTTTTTATACAAAAATCAATACAACGAAGGAGAAAATACTGTACAAAAACCTTATCAGCTCCCCCAACCTTTATACAACAAAGACTGGAGTCACCGTATCTACAAAACCATAAGGTCTTTCCACTTAGGGCTTTTGTCTGTAAACTTTGTTTCATTAAACACTTTTTAAAAGCACTGTGTAGTAGTTCTGAGCTAGAGCTTTTAAAAATATATCTCTTCTTTATAAACTCCATATTTCCAAGCTTGAACTCTTTCGTGAAGTTCGTCAAGCTTTCTCCCCCTGTGGGGAAGCAAAGGTCCCTTAATAGCCCCCTTTCCCAGAGCGATCACAGGGTATAAACGTTTCTTCTGTGCTGGAGAATGGTGGGGAGGAAGAGAAGTACTACAGGTCTCCGCTCCAGACCAAGTCCCTCTAGTCTGAGGAAATCCTGGGAGGAAACGCCACTCCTGGCCCTGGTGTGGTCCTAGCTTTCGTGAGAGGGGTGTGTGTAAAGTCCCTCCCTCCCCGGAGAACGAGTGGGGAACTCCCCGGCCGCCTCTCAGCCGCTTCCTTCTCTGTGCGGCCGGCAGAGGAAAGTCCCTGTCTGCCGCCAAAGTCATAAGCCCCGGGGAAGGGGTGGTGCATTCCAGAAGGACAAAACAAGTCTTAATTCAACAAGACAAACTTACAGACACACGGACATACACATACACAAAAATTAACGATCGTCCTCTTCCAATAAGCCTCCAACTCCAGGTCTCAGGATGAGACTTGGAGTGTCGGCACAGCCCGGCTGCCCAGCCGGGGACAGTGCGCGCTGCCCGGCAGCATCAGTCTCCCCAACGCGCTCAGCGCCTGCGGTCCCTGGGGCGTCCTCGCGGCCCGGAGCGGTCCGGCGCTCGCTTTGGGGACGCCGCGATTCAACCTCACCCCGGCGGGGCCGGGGCTCAGAAGGCCACGATGGCTGTGCTCCAAGGGTTAATGTCTCTCAGCACCGGCTTATCGCAGCAGATCTGCCCGGGCTCGGCGGCTTCCGCACCGCTCTCCTCGGCCTCTTCTTTCTCCCGGCCGCCCCCGGGGCTTTTCCGCAAGAGTCCCGAGAAGCTGGAACCGAAGATGCTAATGAGGTTAGCCACGTTCCCGGTCTCCATCTCCTCCTCGCCGTCCTGCTCGCCCGCGCCCGGCTGCTCCTCCAAGTTCCGGCGCGGCTTCTTCAGCGGGGTCGAGTCCGGCGCCGGGCAGCCCGAGTGGCCGCCGCCTGCCCCCGCCGCGCCGCGCTTCCTGGGGCACACCACAGGCGGCGCGGGGGGCTCCTCCTCGACGGGCCGCGGCGAGCAGCAGCAGTCGGCGCCGGGGGACGCGCCCGGCTGGTCCTCCCCTCCTGCGGGGCAGCCGCAGGGGCGTCGCGCAGCGCGCAGCCTCTCCGGGAGAAAGTCCGAGAGTCCCCCGGCCGCTGCCACGCGGCCCCAGGTAGCCTCCGTTGCGTCCGCCTCTCGGCCCGGAGGAGCGTCCCCAGCTCCGGCCACCGCTCCCGCCGGTTCCGCGTCTCCCGCCCGCGGCGCGTCTGGGACGGCTGGGCGCTCCGGCTGCGGCTGGGTCTCCCGCCAGGCGGCAAGGGCGGTGGGCGGAGGCGGCTCCCCCCAGCCGGCAGGGGGCCCGGCCGCCGGCTCCCCGGGCTGCTGCGGCGGCGGCACTGGGGTCTCGGTGGAACCGGCCAGGTAGAAGCCGGGACACGGGTCACTCAGGTAGACCTGGCGGGCGCTGCGCAGCACCAGCGAGACCAGGAGGTTCTTGTGCAGCTTGATGCCGCCGCGCTGGACCCGCGAGTTGTAGATCTTGCCCAGGGAGATGCTGACGATGCGGTGAGCCTCCAGCTTGAACTCCATCCTGCCTCCTCTGCACTGGGCGGGCACCGAGGGGTCGGGGGTGAGCCCCGGCTCAGGTTCAGAAGCTGGGAGAGGGTCGGGAAGCGTAAACAAGCCCGCCCCCGGGGGTACAGCCTCGATAATTTAGGGCTCCAAAGAGAAACCACTCCGGGGACGCGCGCTGCCCTCGTACCCTCTCCTCATCTAACCACCACCTAGTTTCGGGTCCGGTCGCTAAACTGAGACTGCCGGGCCGCCCCGCGGTTTATATAGACTCCGCGAACGCCAATCACGAAGCGCCGCCAACCGTTCTGGGCTGGCCTGCGCGCCCTCGTGCGCCGCGCGCTGCCAATCGGAGGCGGAGGAGGAGCGTCAGGGCCGGTTCGAACGTTAGTCCCGCGGAGCAGGCTCTTAAAGGGGGCGACGGCTGGCGGCCACCGAGCAGTGCCGGTGGGGCCTGGAATCGGCGGAGCTGGGGCATGGGGGCTCGCAGTGGTGTTTGTAGTTAAAGATTCTGGGTTGTGTGCTGGCTTCCCAGAACCAAAGCAAATGGAACCTTTGAACTTTCATCTGAGTATGGTGGTGGACTCTGCTCCACCATAAAGTCCTGATCCTTCCCAGGTCAACGGTGCCCTCCCTGCCTTGCCACCATTTCCAGCTATACACACCGTAAACCTAGGCCCCTCTATTTTCTGACAAAAATAGAGATGATGGCAATACGCGGCAGGAGATACGAAACGGTATTACCACAGGGCATTTGGCAGGTATTTGTGGAAGAGCCCCTTGCCCACTGGAGTCACACACTCTTAGGAGCTAATGATTCTAACCTCAAAGAAAAGGGGGATTCTAGAAGTTCTCAACTTTCTGGCCTCTTATCAAGGAATTCTATCAAGGTCCAATGTTATTGGTTCTCCACTAAAGTCAGCATCTGTCACTTGTTCCCTAGAATGTAGAACAAACCCAGTTGCCAGTTAAATGGAAGATGTTACATGTTTCTCCACAGCGATTTTTCTTCGACGCAAGAACTGACTAATCTGCCCTTGGGAAAATCTAGCAAGTTCTAAAAATACAAATAGAGAAGCTCTGGGTTCCCATAATGATGTCATATTTTTATTTGTGTGGAGGAAGGGTGTTCTAGAATTTTTTGGCCAGTCAACAAAAATCTGTCTACTGGTTTATTTTTTATTTTTACTTTTTATGCCCTGGGGATTAGACCCAGGGGTACTTTATCAACAGAGCTGCATTCCCAGTCTTCTTTATTTTGAAACAGCGTCCCACAAAGTTGCTGAGGGTCTCAGAGTTGTTGAGACTGGCCTTGAACTTGGAATCCTCCTGCCTCAGCCACTGGGTCGCTGGAATTGCAGGAGACTCCATCTACTGATTGTTACAAGTCCATGGCATAAGGTTAAAATCACCACAGAGTTATAACAGGGTCCTGAACTGGGAAGGTGAAGAGTCATTTCCTAGTTAGACCCACCTAAGCTCCATCACAGACCTGCCTTATGAGTCTGTGTAAATAACCTGAGGACCTTTGAGTTTCTTCAAATCTAAGATGTCTAAGATGTCTCTTATATGTCTACCTTAATATGCAGAAGACAAATGACAACTCTCAGCTACAATCTGAATAAAAATAACTTTGTTGGAATACAAACAATTGGCCTGGTCCTGCATCAGGATCTGACCAAGCTATGAGTTTCTTTAGGAGAAATACTAATGAAAGGTGGACTTTAACATGGCCAGTTCACAATCAGGATGCTTCCAGAGGACTTGATGCCTCCATAATGTCATTTTTTTTTTTTTTTTTGAGATAGGGTCTGGCTAAGTTGCCGAGGATGACCTCTTAACTTTCAATCTTCTTGGCTCAGCTTCACAAGTGGCTGGCATTGTAGGTTTGTGCCATCAAGCCCCACCAGTAATCTTATTTTTGCCCATAATTTATTGCTGGTAACTGAGACACAGACCATGAGACCTAGAGTTCCTCTGCTCTAGGAATTTTCAGTCCACATAAAGAAGGAGATAAATAGTCACAAGAATTATTACAAAACCTGGCAGCATATGTTGAGCAATAACATGATGTGCTAGTCAGCTGTTCATCTCTGTGCCCCAAATACCTAACAAGAGCGAATTAGAAGAGGAAAAGTTTATTTGGGTCTTAGTCCATGGTTGGCCGACTCTGTTGCTCTAGGCCTGAGGTGAGGCAGAACGTCATGGCAAAAGGGCCTGGTGGAGGAAAGCTGTGAGCTCCCGGCAGCCAGGAGGTGGAGAGGAACCAAGGACAAGATGTAGTCGGAGGGCACACCCCCAGTGACCTACTTCCTCCAGCCACACCCCACCTACATACAGTTACCACCCAGTAGACCATTCATTAAGCTATCAAATAGATGAATCTGCTAATGAGGTTACACCTCTGATCATTCCTGCATTAATTAAAACAAGAGCTTTTCAGGGGCATTCAAGATCCAAAGCATAACACATGAAAATTTTTTTTTCTTTTTGTTTTTTCTTTCTTTAGGTTTGATTCCCTATAAAAACAATGCTTAAGAACACCGGCTTCTTGGGTTGGAATCTCAGCTCTGCCTTTTTCTTGCTGTGTGCTGTTTTGGAGATTTGTTCCAGCCTTGTTTGAACACAGAAATAATAGTACCTACCTCTTAAGAGTTTCTGTGAGGAACAAACAAGGTAACACATTCAAAACTCTTAGAATAGCAGCTGACATGTAGTAAGTGATCAATATATATTACTTATTATAACATGTTATCCTATGCATGAACTTGAGATGGGAGAGGAGACCAGAAAAGGAAGAAACACAGATGAGGGAAAGTTTTATCAAAGAAAGTATATTTGAGGAGGTGTTGGAAACCCCTGAGGGAGGTTCCACAAGTTCTAAGCAGTGGACAAGGATCTGGTGCAGGGAACACCTACCTCATTTTGCAGGTGTGGTGGGCAGCACCAAAAAGTAAGCAGGGAACTGAGCCTCGGGCTGCTGATGTGGATTGTTGATAACTCAGGGAGGAGATAGGGCTACAGGGACCTACTGAGGGTTGTTGAGCCAAAGAACACAGAATGGATTCTAGAACAATTGGTACTCAGAATGCTGAAATTTGAAAGCTCTTCTGAGCATTTAGGCAAAGTGTCATGAGGCCTGAACTAGTTGGAGGAAGTAAGAATGAAAAAACCAAGAGACAAAAAGAACTTTAGTGATGATCGGGGACTCCCCCCATCCCCAACACACACACATACACACACTCACTCTGGGAAGCAGATTATTGACACACTCTTGCCTTGGTGACCCCTTTCTCACCACATGAACTGAGCTGTCCCACCACCCATCACTGCCCTCGTTACTTTCTCCTGTTCTTCCCAGGGGCCCTTCTAGACCACACACTCATCAAAGGCAGGAGCCTGTCTCACATCTGCAACTAGGAGACAGTGAAAATATGGCACGGTTGGGTACTAACCATCAAAGTAAGGTACAGTGCCAGGGATCATGGAGGGTTTCTGCAGAAGGGACTAGAAGGCAGGAACAGGAGCATCCAAGGGGCTGGGGAAAGAAGTTCTGTCGACAGGCATGGAAGCACTTCAATGTTTTAACAACAGGAGTGATAATGCACTGGGATTGGTGGATCCTTAGTGACAACAGTGTCTACCAAGCACCAGGCTGGTCACTTCACATATATTATTCAGCATCCTTATGAAGTTCTGAGAGGAGGAGGTCTCATTATCTTCATTTACAGGTAAGCGAACTAGGACCCCAAGAGGTTAAGTGAGTCTCCCAAAGTCATGGAGAGGGTAGGATTCAATTCCAAACTTATTTAAAACTTAAGTTTGGGGCTCTTGGTTAGATTGCCTGGCTCCACCTCTTCTGTGAGATCTGTGGAAAGTTATTTCACCTCTAGGTAAAATGAGAAAACTGTGTCCTAGTTTTGTGACATGGGTAGGTTAACCCCCCTGTGCCTCAGTCTACTGTGTAAGATAGAAATGATAAATATACTAAATTGCTTATACAGTCCCTATCACCATCTAAGTACCTAACTAAGTCTTTGTTGTTGTTTTTGTTGTTATGAATGTGGTTATTATTACTCCACGGCCTAGCACAGTACTGGACATGTGGTAAGTACATGTCAGTACTTGTTGAATTTGGAATGCTTTTCCTAATATACCACATAGTGGGTGCCTAATAAATGTCTGCTGATTTGAAATTATTAATAACCACAATTATAATCAGGGTTTCCCCTAATTCTGAGCCAATAAAATGGAATTTTTAGAATTCATCTCTGGAGACCCTGGGCTCTTATGATCAGAAAACTTTACCTCCACTACCAAAGCGGGAAGATAGAAAGAAGATTCTTCAAAACTTTAGCAACAGATAAGCAAGCTAGAATTTGCTGTAACCAATCTTTGAGATTTTTTTTTCAGTTAAAAAAAATTGGTAGGGCTGGGGTTGTGGCTCAGCGGTAGAGCGCTTGCCTCGCATGTGCGAGACCCTGGGTTTGATCCTCAGCACCACATAAAAATAAATAAGTGAAATAAAGGTATTGTGGCCAACTACAACTAAAAAAAAAAAATGGTAGCAGGATCAGAAGTAGCAGGGACTTGCCCCAGTTTCCTCCACCTGGCACAGAAAGGTTAGTACTGGGAGTGTCAGCCCCACTGTCCCCACAAATATCTGAAGCACTTAAACACTATCTGGGCTTGGGCCTCAGGATTCCTTTCAGCACAGGGCCAGTCTGTCTGTCCACTGTCGTTGACTTTATTTCTTGCCCACCCTGTTTATACAAGTAATTGAAAGCCAAGTATCATTATCAGTTGATAAAGCAATTTCTATTGCCTTCAATTGAGTCTAGTCTATATAAGAGCAATGCAAACCCACTACAGATATAGACATAATAGCTACATGAGATGTTGCAGTTAGTGTGAAGAGGGTGCATGAGAAAAGCTATAGGCACTGTCTCTATTTTTTAATGTGGTGACATTTGGAGTTTTAATTTTATTTATTTGCCAAGGTTCCTTGTGCAATCGAATAACCATTTATATGAAATCCATATTCCTTAAGGGAAAAGCTCTATAAGAATACATTATTAGGAGCTGGAGGTGTAGCTGAGTGGTAGAGCCAGGCATGTGTGAGGCACTGGGTTCGATCAGCAGCACCACATAAAAAATAAATAAATAGAATAAAGGTATTGTGTCCATCTACAACTAAAAATATTTTTAAAAAATACATTATTAATGGGCACGGTGGCACATGCCTG